AATCATAGATTTTGTTTCATTTAAGAAAATAGCTATTTCTTTATTCTGTAGAAATCATAAGATTTTTGGTAAGAAGTACTTTAAACTTTTGTGGAGATTTAATATTGAATACTAAATTGCTACTACACTAGGCTAAAAGAAATGTGACTTATTAATTGTACCACACCTATCCTTGCTTTCCATCTCCTACTTACAGTAAAATTATACAGTCATGCTAATGTGATAGAGGCTTATTTAGTATCCTATAAAACACTGCCAGCTCATTCCTTCAGTGAATATTGAGCATCTTCTGTGTGCCTCTACATATGTAAAGTGTTGGAATTAATGGTGATTGTGCTTAGACCTATAGGTCCAGATATTTCAAGTGTAACAGCTTCTCTTATTTTTTTTTACATTTTTATAACACAATTCACCAGACCCATAGTTGTCTGTCTATCTCATACACATATTGGTTGATTCTTGCAGTTTAATATACTTTCTTTCAAAATGCAAGGGTATTGAGTACTCTTCTCTAGGAGGTTTCTGAAAGTTAGACAGTGGAACATATGAAATCACATTCATGTTTTGAATAAATGAATTCTGGATAAAGTTGAGTGTGTTATTTCTCTAATCTAAAGACAGATAAAGTCAAAATTCTAGCATTTTTCTGATTTTGTCAGTACAAACTTCTTTTAGTCTTCTATTTTAACACCTCTTGTCTTTCAAAATTTAAATTGTCTTTATTGCTTGTGGTCACCATTCTGTCACCCTTCTGCTTGTGTATTTTCATTGCTTCTGTTATTTGATGGTATTTTTCATACTTTTTAAATGAGACTCTTCACTCCTGCATGTGGCACTGTGCACGTACCTGTAGGTAGCGATTCCTACGAGAAAATCACGAAGACTGATGGATAACAAGATCTTTCTAAAGAGTAGCAACCAGGCACTTAGTAAAATGACAAAAATGAACCTGTTTCTGTGTGGAGTGCTTTATAAATAGTTAAGTTTTACCAGTAGTTTCAGAAAAAACTATTATGAGTACATCATTATTTTAAAATTTGTAATTGGAACTAGGATGCTAAGCTTTAAATCGTGGTATCTAAGATCATTTGTCATTTTATTTTTTATCCCTGCTGTCATCACCAACCAGGGGTCAAAGCAATCTTACTAAATTTCTAAATGTATTAAATTTCTGAAGTATAATATCCTCATCTCTTTAATAGAATCCAGATCAAATACAGACAGTCTTTCTGGACTCATTTCTTATTTATCCTCAATTTATACACCATTATCCTCTAATATCTGCAAGGTCATAAGATTTATTTTCATCCTCTTCTGGGTCTCCACATGCCTTTTGCTTATCTTGAGCACCTCATCCTCTATTTCTGACTTCCTTGTATCAAAACAGACTTCAAGAATGAGTCAGGCTTTTCTTCTTCTGCAGTAAATTCCTCTGTGCTTGACACAGACAGAGAGAACTTCTCCCTTCTGTGAAAGGGAGGCATAAATGTAGTAAAAGTGGAGTCAGTCTCTGCATTTACTGTTTCCATGGTAATCTGTACACATTTCTTCCTATCGTACTTCATTTTCCATGAGTGCTTGTATTTCTAGTTTACTTTTATGCATATAAAAATCTGTACAATCTTGCTTTTTTAAAGCTGTGTTTAGTCTTGTCCCAAAGATGAGAAATATCTCTTCATTTTTATGGGTTTCATAGGACTTTGGAATTACTAACAACTAATAAATATTAACTGAATGATTATATTGGAAGTTTCTGAAACATCCAGAAAAATGGTATTATTAAAAATTATTAATAATTCTCCATTCCTATTAGTATTCCTAGAAAAGCAATGTGTCCTGTTGATATATTCCAGTTATTTTATTGAAAAATTAGCTGAGGTGGAAAAATCATGAATAATTTAGTTTCAATTATTTTAGTACATTCTGGCTTCACAAGATAGAAAATGCAAGCAAAAATAACAGAAACAAAGCAAATCTCATTGGGAATTTTGTATTGATTCTTTTGTGTAAGATTATTAACATGACTATTTTATGCAGCTTATCTACAAATAAATCTGGTCACAGGAAGAATAACATTTTAAGCAACGAAGTTTCAATTCTTTTGTTCAGATTGTAATAGCATAATGAAGGTTATAAATCAGTAGTTTCCCAGCTATGAGGTACCCTTATTTCCCCTGTTAGCATTTTTCAAACACTTAGTGCCTTTTGCTTAGATCAATAGCACCAGGCTTTAAAGTTCATAAAACTTTCATTTCATATATATTTCCCAATTACTTTTTAAGAAATATAGTGATTACAAAAATGAATATGTAGCCATCAGTTTCAGGGCATATGTTTTGATATAAGCAAGAATTTATTCTTGTGTACATGCCCTAAGAAAAGTCTTTTTTTATGAAAAGTTTCTTATAGTTGATTCTTGGAGAAATTACAATATTGTAGAGCAAAAAATATGTAAATATGAAAAGAGGTGAAAATAATTTCATGTATTGTATTATACATATCATTGTTTAATATATGGCTTTGTTAAAATTCATATTTATTCCTATTTATTTCCCAGTAAAAACTGAATAATACATCAAGTCAGTAAAAACTGAGGTATGTGGTCTTGCTTTGTGTCTAATAAGAATAATAATCAGAGAGCATGTGGATAAAAAACAAAGGATATGGTATGCCATGTACAGGCCCCAGGAGGAGAGCCAGGTGCCACCCCCTTCCCACTAGCGGGCTGAGAGGCAAGGAGAGACTAGGTCCACCCCAATTCCCAGCCTCCCATAAGCGATTGGCTGATCTGGAAAAGCACAGACTGAGAGGATAGCTACTGAGATAAAATACAACTTAATGCCTATAGTGTTTAGTGCTTCAGACTTTGCAGGCCTGAAACCAGTAGCCTGATCGATCATCTATTTAGAGAATAATAATACACAATGTAGCATGTATGGGGGATCTCCTTATAAAGTGGTATCCATTATTATTTATTATCTTGTTTTGAAGTCCTATATCATTTTCATTGTTTTATTTAGTTGGGTTTTATTTGGTTTTGTCTTGTTTGATTTTATTATCCCTGCTGGCATGGCCAGCTATTTCAAAGATAAGACATGTTAGAGTAGCCATTTTGGATTTACTATTATCATGTTTTGAAGTCTTGATTTACTTTCATTGTTTTGTTTTTATTGGCTCTACTTTTTTCTGTTTTGTTTGATTTTACTATGTCTGAAAGATGGGCTGCTAATTTGAAGACAGCAAGAAACATTATTGTAACCATTGTTGATTTTATGTTACCTTGTTGTAAAATCCTGTGTTATGTTATTTTGTTTTGATTGACTTTATTCTGTTGTATTTTGGTTGGTTTTATTCTCTTTAAAATTATTTCTTAAAAAAGAAATAATATGGCACTTTGGAAATGTTTTAACTTTTAGGAACTGATTGCTTTTATTTTTATTTATATAAAAATCATTAAAGTACGTGCCACTTTTATTTTGTTGTTTATACTTCTGCAGATGAAATATAAACTTTATGCATTAAACATGATTTAACTGATTTTTCTTTAATAACATATAGACAAATCTTTAATATCAAAATCAAAAATAAGTGAGACTAAATTATTCAGAAAATAAAATTACCATATAATAAGTGAATTAGATTTTGTGATCAAGTTATATCTTATGGCCAACAATAAAATTCAATCTCTAAGCATTTTCTAATACACTTTTCATAATGGAAAGAGCATTCTACTCATCCCTGCAGAGAGACATTTTTATTATTTAAAAAATATGTTGTCTAAGAATATGTGATAGGGCCAATTTTAACTATTAGAAATTGGAACTGGTTTGTGTTTCTTCCACCCTACCCTTGTGCTTTCTTAGCAGTTCAGGTATGAGCTACTTCATTCTTACCACAAAGCCACTATGTTTTTGAAGAATGATGGCATCAAACACATAAATTTAATAGATTCTAGGACGTGTTGACTCTAATCACCCGAGTATCCAAGTCTATGACAAGAAAGAACATCTTTTGAAACTGTTTCCTTGGCCAGAAGAAATTACTGGATTTTAGCCCCAGGCAATAAATCAAAATAAACATATTGTTTTCTTTGTTCTATAAGCAGCAGTTTGTTACTGTCTCCATCAATTCCTCACTCTCTTCAGGTAACACCTCTATTTGGCTGAATCCCATCATTCAATAAAGCTTTGCCCATGGACAAATATGTGTACTTACAATATTTGGTCCCAGCTCAATTGTACCACCTCAGATCATGCTTTTGGTTTCATAATTTCATCACATAAAGTGAAGGGAATGGCTACTTGTGTCTCTACAATTATTTCTAGTGAGTTTTATTTATTTATTTATGTATTTTTATACCAGAATTGAACTCAGGAATTTGAGCTTATCAGGCAGGCACTATACCACTGAGCCATATCACCAGCAAACTAGTAAGTTATTTAAAATGATATAAAGAAGACCAAAAAATTTATTGACATGCAACAGACTTTAATTTCTATATTTTCCTTGTTAGCATTATTAAGCATTATAAACAATCCGATCAATTTATGCTGTATAGTTAAGCCTTTGAGCTATTGTAAGGTAAAAGAGAAAGTCATTAACAGTTTAGATTCTGGGAACTTCCCATTTTCTATCTCGTTTGTGAGAACATGGAAGGCATCACTTCCATCCTCAGTATCAGCAACAAAGTCAACAACTCAAAAGTCAATAGCTGTTATGAGATTCATCAGAAAACAGAGTTAACTGAAGTTTTTCCTGAAGTTCTAGAGACAAAAATATATGGAAGTATAGCTTATCAGAAACCAGCAGCAGGGCTTGGAACCATTCTTGGAAAGACACTTAAATTATGATTGATAAATTTGTGGAAGCTCAACGTGTATGAGTTGGAAAACTCAGGGGACCAGTCTAGAAAGAGATAAAAAGAGAGGGGCTCATTTTTTCTTAGATTTACCTTCTTCAGCTCCTTCCAGGGTTTTTTTGTTTGTTTGTTTGTTTGCTTTAATCAGACAGTACAATGCACCCATATTGTAACAAAGTTTGAAGGAGATGAGTTTCTTGCACACAGTATGAACACCCAGTCATCACAGTCATGTACCAAAGTATCTACACCAATTTTTAATTTAAAATTAGAGAAAAACATCTCTCACTGCTTCCAGGATAGGGAAGAGGGAAATAGCCATTCTGAATTATTCACATGGCCAGTGTATCCTCCTTAACAAAAAGCCTCTTTTCTAAGAAGTTCATTGAAAGATATGAAAGCTTGCAAATCTGGGTGTTTAGTTCCAAATGAGTGCTGATTGTATACCCTCTTTACTTCAAAATTGTATAAAGCAAGCAGTAGTTTGAATGGAAAATTGTTAAACAAATAAAAAAGCAACACATTATTATTATTAATTAATTATTATGGAAATACATATAATATAATAATATAGTTAATTATTAAGGATATACATATAATTAATTAAGGAAATACATATAATTGATTAATATAATTAATTAATATAATGACATAATTATTAAGGGAATAATTATTAAGGAAATTCTAGTCTATTCATGCTGCCAAAGATGCTAAATTAAGATAGTCATTATCAGAAAAACAAATCGTGGAGAGAAAATGAGACACATTGCTTAGCCAATACTTCAGAAAGATAAAAAGTAGGAGTGTTCAGTAATGTGAAGTTCTCTTTGAAGAGATTAAACACTACTGTTGAAAAGATTGAATGTATTTTCAGTCATCTCAGGACTCAAAATGGAATCATACATGAAATGTCTAAGAAATGCATCTTATCTAACACAAGGAATCTCCTTGATATTTTCTGGTGGTCCATGAATTTTTTGAGAATATTATACAAATAAAAACCATCATCATAAATGAAGAGAACAGAAGAAGAATGAAACAAGAAAAAAAAAGTTAAATCACCTAAAATTCCAAAAGTACTAAGTTAGCCAATAAAATCATTCAACTGGAAATGCTATTTTTTATGAGTATACATCTCTGACACTTCAAAGGATTAGTCTCAACCATGAAACTTACTTGAGTTTTTCAAATTGAATTTTTAATTTACTTGAGACTAATGAACTTCAATTTTTAGCTCATTTTCTTTCTATTAATCATTAATGTATACAATTCTTATACTTCTCTATACCAGGATCTAGATGTCTTCCCAAGGCCCCATGAAGGTGCGGGGTCTACAGGAGTGTGTTGGACTTAGGGTGTGAGATACTGGGATTAAGGTAGTGTGGTACTAAATTAGTCCACTGGAATTAGCATTGGGCTGAGTGTGGGTAATGGAAATGCCCACGCTGGGTGTGAGCAGGACTACATAAAGGGCTTATAGCTTAGAAGAAATAAAAGGACGAGGAGGTTGCTGCTCGGCTGCTTACTGCTTGCTACTGCCTTCTGCCTTCCATGAACTATTCCTCCTCTGCAATGCCTCTCTGCAGTGCTACCCTCCTCTGGAGCCAGCCAGTTGTGGACTAAAACCTCTACAAATTGTGGGACAAAATAAACCTTTCCTCTTTTAACTTGTGGATTTTTGCCTCAGCAAGCAGAACAGTAAGAAAAATACCTATAGTCTATTGTATAGTATTTTGGAATAGATAAGGTATTTTTTTGCTTCAGAAGACTCAGATGGCTCACTCCTTCATACCTATTTTAGAAGATAGAGATGGTTAGCTTTAGAATTGTTGAACTGAAGAAATTTGTGTAAGACTGTTTCAGAGGAGATTAAGCACTTTCAGGGTGATATAGTGTGGGTATATATCAAATTTAAAAACTTTTTCATAGCACAGAAAACAACCTACAGAATGAAGATAATCTCACAGAATGGAAAAAATGGTTTTAATATATAAGGACCTCAAAAATTCGACCCAATAAAATTAAAAGAACAAACACAAAACATGGGCAAATTAAATGACTAGACATTTACTCAGAATCATAAATGGCCAAAAAATATGTGAGAAAATGCTCAACATTTTGGGTCATTACAGAACTGCAACTTAAGAAAATCACTGAGATTTCATTGCTCCAGAGACAATACATACCAAGAAATCAAATAATAACAAAAGTTGCTAAACTTTCAGGAATGAAAAATAAAAGCACTTCTACACTGAAAATGGAAATGTGAACTAGTATAAATATGATTGGAATCAGTATGGAGATTCCTGAAATAATAAAAATTAAAATTTCACTCAATCCAGCTATTCCACGTGTAGGTGTCTTTCCAAAAAGACTAAAGACCTCATATTACAGTGCTACGGTCACACCCATGTTCATAGCAGCACAATTCATAATAGTTGAATCTTGGAAAGGGCTTGTTTGACCACCAAGAGATGAATAGAAAAAAACTGATACTTATACACAGTGAAGTACTACTCTGTCAAAGAAAAATAAACATGAGTCATTTGTAGGAAAATGGATGCAGCTTGAAATCATAATATTAAGTCAAACAAGCCACTCAAGGGCAAATGTTACATGGTTTCTCTTATATGAGAAACTCAATATATAAATGAATTATGGATAAATGGGTAAAGTAAAAGACAACTGGAAATAAGGAGATAGATCTTTTTCAATAAGGGGCCAAGGAATTGGGGAGTGAGGAAAAATAATTTTCAAGGGTTAGGTATACATACAACTTCCACAATGAATGCAATCATTAACTTCTTCAAATATGTAGTAATAAAAATAAACATAAACAAAGGTGAAAAATTTAAAAGACAGACAGAGCATGCAATAAGATGTGGCTTCCATATTTTTCATGCGGAGCAGATGACTCTTTGGGGCCCAGAGGGCAGACTGTAATCAGTAGAGATAGTCTTAGAAGTAGTCAGGTTCTAAGCTCTTGATCATGTGAATATACTACCTTTCAAGATAGAAGGCAGTAAAGTTGCAGATGGTAGAGATGAGAGACTATTCCAAAATTGCCTGGCTCTGTCCATCTTGTAACCACAAAAGCACTTAATTTGAAGGCAAAGGCAGGGGAGATTGGAGCTCGGAAAAGTGATTGTGGATGTGAGAGCACAGTGACGGCATGTGAAATGGGCTCTTCTTAATTTTAAAAGCTTTGAAGATAGAGAAAGTAACACATGAACCATTAAAGGCAGGCAGCCTGTAGAAAATGAAAAATCCTGAAAATGTAACATATCTCAAGCATATACTATGGCACAAAGCCTTACTAAGGTCTCAGCTCTAGCCGAGTGTGACCTCTTTCATAATTTCAACCTACAGAGCTGTACAATAAAACATTTGTGTTATTTAATCTGTTAAATTTGAAATAATTTAAGCTTGAATTAAATTAAAAATGTTGTCTTGTATAATTGAGCCATTTATCATAATGCAATGACTCCTTTTATCTTTGATAATTTCTCTTGAAGTTGTTTTTCTCTGAAATTAATTTAGTTATTCTAGATTTCTTTTGATTACTATTGGTATGACTTGCATTTCTCAATTCCTTTTCTTTTAATGAGGCTGATTATATTTAAAAAGTCTTTTATAGGAACAATAAACAGGTAGGAGTTTTTGATTCATCCATTATAAGATTAGCTGCCTTTTAATTGTTATATTTAGATTACTCACACTTACAATGATTATGACAGAATTATATATATATATATATATATATATATATATATATATATATATCATATGTACAATTCTGTCCCTTTTTTGTTTCTTATCTTTGATTGTCTTCTTTGGACTGATTTGGAAATTTTATTAGGTTCTCTTTGTATTTTCATGTTAGTATATAAAGTACACTTGTTAAAAATTTTTGGTAATTACTATGGCAGTTGTATTACATAATTTTACCTAGGCTAAGACTACTTTCAAATGACACTGCGTGTTTCCACATAGGTACAGGTATGTTGTAAATTTCTTGCGTTTCTCCATTGTTTTCTAGTCATAATACTGTTTCTATCATTGTCTTAACAAAACTAAAGATAAATCAACAATGATTAAGAAAAATAAAATATTGCATTTTATTGTTTCTCTGTTATCCTTCCTTTTAGAGATAGGTTAAGGTTTTATATAATTTTTATTCTGCTTAAAGACATTGTTTTAACATTTAGAACAAAGACACTCTGATGGGAATAATTTCCCTCAAATTATTTTTCTTGCCACTGGATAGCTTCATTTTTCCTTTATTTGGCAGAACAATTCTTCTGGCTATGAAATTTTAGTTTAATTTTTCACTTCTTCAAGTATTCCGTTCTGTTTTTCCTGGCTTTCATGGTTTCTTACAATAAATTCACTAGAATCCATACCCTTGTTCCTCAATAGGCAAAAGACCCTTCCAAACCACACTTAATGGTTTAGGTGACCTGGACACTGCAGCCTTGGTCAGCTGATATGGGCAGCCGACTTCAGAATCATATATAACACTCATTTATACACGAGTTCAGAGCTCATGGCAACTTCCACAGAGATTTAAAAGGGAAACCTAGGGAGCAAGTCAGAGTTGTGTGACAGAATTGGAGATTTGCTCCCCATGAGGCAGGGAATTATGGAAGTGTGTGAGTGACTACAATGGAAACCCCCAACCAGTAAGTGTCAGAGGCATACAGCTCCTGACTAGGAAGACTGCAGCAGATTCAGAGCCAGCCTGAGAGAGTGGCTATATGTATGGTAACCAGCGAAGCCATAGATAACAGGGTTACTGAGGCACTTGAGAGCTCACATGCAATTACGGTTTCCCTGGATGACAGACAGGGAGGATATAATGTGCATTTTTGGATCTGGCTATGGGGCAATCTTTTTTTTTTTTTTTTTTTTTTGCTCATTTTTGGGGTCAATTTATACCTTTTGAAATAATATTTATCCTATGCCATTCTATCACTGTGGCTGGAAGTATTTACTGTAGTTTTGGATTCATAGAGATTTTGGGCTTGAGTTGGTTAGCAGCGCTGGAAGAGATGACTATGGGACTCTTGAGAATGGAATAATTTTTTTTTTTCACTATGAGATGAGCACGAGCCTTTAGCATTCAGTGGTAGAATGCTGTAGTTTAGATGTGTATTACCTGTAGTTTAGATGTTGATGTGTTAAAGTTGCTGTCTCCAAATGGGTGGTTTTGGGAAGTGCTGTGGTCTTTAAGAGGGGAGGCCTC